CACATTAGCCCGCAAAATAATTCTTCTAATCTCCATGATAGTTTCGTGCATTTGCCACATCAATTTTGCATTGCCTTTTATCATATTAAACACTATTCTTATACCCCTACCAAACGACCCCTACATTCTCTACTTGGCACCCATCCCTTGAGAAAACTAGATTTTATATCTTCTGGAGCCTGTATGGCGTACTAATATTGCTACTAGTTGGATTTTGCATCTGTTACTGCTATTGTTTTTTTAGAATAATTAGTTGTTTAGTTTTAGGAGGAGTCTTCTAGAAGATTTAGAATTTTAATTATAGTAAGAGTTTAATAATTTAGTTGTAGGAGGAGTCTACTAATTTATTTGGCTATTTAAAGCCTTATGATTAATAAAATTTTAGAGACAATTTTTCAATCCTATTTTTCAACCTTCTTGCTGCTTGTATATTTTCTAAAATCCATAACAGTGGTATCAGAGCCTCCATTGATTGATCTTGACGGATCTCTGAATTCGCTGAAAAACAACCAATTTCAACACTTTTAAACCATACGCATTTTTACCCATACCGATTTTTAACCAAATTTTTAACAATGGCAAGCAACGGTCTCTCTTTGAATACCCCACAAACTTTCACTGGTGAAAACTATCAGATTTGGTCAGTGAAGATGAAATCTTATCTTGAAGCTTATGATCTATGGGAATTTGTAATGGAAGACAGACTTATACAACCACTTCCTGCAAATCCTACCCTTGCCCAAATCAAAGCTCATTCAGATGAGAAAACCAAAAAATACAAAGTCAAAACTATAATTCAAAATTCAGTTTCAGATTCAATCTTCTCTAAAATCATTGCATGTGAGACAGCAAAAAAAGCTTGGGAAACACTCAAACAGGAGTATCAAGGAAGTGAACAAGGCAGACAAAATCAGATTTTAAATTTGAAAAGAGATTTTGAATCCCTTAGAATGCAAGATGATGAGACCATCGCTAAGTATTCTGACCGAATTTCTTTAATTGTCAATAAAATCAGGTTGCTTGGCGAGGATTTCAAAGACGACAAGATAGTTGAAAAAATTCTTGTGACAATTTCCGAGTGATTTGAATCCAAAATTTCCTCTCTGGAAGAGTCTAAAGATCTCTCTACCATCTCTGTTGTAGAATTAATAAGTGTTCTTCAAGCACAAGAGCAAAGAAGGGCATTCAGACAAGATAAAGTTACTGAGGGTATTTTTTATGCGAAACACCAAAACGAAAAAGTCGATTATCCTTATTGCAAATATTACAAAAAGAAAACACACTTAGAAAAATTTTGTTGGTGGAGACCTGATGCATTATGTGGAAATTGCAAGCAAAAAAGTCATGTTACAAAAGTGTGTAAGTTTAAAGATGCTCATGCACAAGCACTAATAGCAGAAGAAGGAATTGAGGATGACCTTCTTTAGACTGCAGCAACAGAAGCAAGGAGGAGTGTTGGATTTTGCATCTGTTACTGCTACTGTTTTCTAGAATAATTAGTTGTTTAGTTTTAGAAGGAGTCTGCTAGAAGATTTAGAATTTTTATTATAGTTAGAGTTTAATAATTTAGTTGTAGGAGGAGTATATATACTACTTTATTTATTTGGCTATTTAAAGCCCTATGATTAATAAAATTTTAGAGACAGCTTTTCAATCCTATTTTTCAACCTTCTTGCTGCTTATATATTTTCTAAAATCCATAACACTACTGACTTCTCATTTTCAGGAACGTTATTTGATTGAGAACTTGAAGAGAGGAAACATTTTGAATTTGACCTTCTTTGGGTCGCCCTACAGTGTCTCTTTGTAAGTTCTGCAGTCTGAAACTTGGGATGATCAATCTAAGAGGGTTGCCTACAAAGAGAGTGCAGAATGACATCCCAAAAGGAGTACTTATTTTGTTTCAATGGCTTACTTTTTTATTTGGTCTATTTAAAAAAGAATAGCATTTTTCTATCATTAGTTAGTTTATCCTTAATGAGGAATAACAAAACATGTTTAATACCACATGATTCAACGGGTACTTCATGCCTATTTTTTTTTTTTTAAAAGGAGTAATATATTATTCTAATAACTAGTCTATATATATAAAGGAGGGAATGAAAAATGTGACTTGGCCCAATGACTAGCATTGTTATTTATCTTTTTTCTCAATTTTTTGATAATTTCACTCAATTTCCACTTAATTTCACTTATTAAGTAGTAATCATATTGTTTTGCACCGTTTCTAATCTATCTAAACAAGTGATCAAACACATTCTTTCGATTACAACTACTCCAAACCGTTACATTTTTGACAGAACAGATTTGTTCAAAATCATTTAATATATTAGTAGTTTTTTCTCTTCCATGACTTCTAATATTCCACGTTATCTTTACCTCCCTCACATTTGATCACTCATCCAAATTAATTGCTCAAATAACTAGGTAACGTTATCATTTAATGTTCTTCAATTTTATATAACTTACTAACTTTGGGTTTTAAAGTATAGAGTTTCCTCCCTGTCTTTCATATTTTATTTCATTTGCATGTGGTGATAAACAATGGAGTGGTGTGCATAACGTCGATATCCATGGGAAAGAGGGATATAGTACAACGAAATTAACAGCCTGCTGGAACTAATTAACAAAGATTTAATGGAAGGCGAGATATATGCCTTTGGGGATGTACAAAACTTCAAAAACATCTGAGTCTCTTCCTATCATTTAAATGCGATGATAATCTCCAAGTTATTGTACGTAGTTGAATAAATATTGATTTATTTGATGCAATTGAAACAAATAGGATCTGAAACATTAAAGAGAAGCTGGTATTACAAAAAAAACAAGGGGAAAGTTTGACACATGAAACTGATATTACAATAGAACGATAATATATGTGGATCTTGAGATTAAGGCTTGTAGACATGTGATTTTTGACCCTCCCCAAGATTTTTTATATTTTAGCATGTAAATATTTAATTTAGGCCTAATATAGTTATTTTAATTAATTTGACTATTTTACTTTATTTTATTACAAGAAAATGAAAATTACAAAAATATTTTATTTTATGTACCTTTCATAAAGTAAAAAAAAATAATACAAAAATAGTACCTTATTTTTATCTTTATATAATCTTGAAAAGTACAAAAATATATAATAGTTTCATGTTTTAATATAGTTTAGTTTAATTAAATAGACTCATAGATAGGATCTGAAACATTAAAGAGAAGCTGGTATTACAAAAAAAACAAGGGGAAAGTTTGACACATGAAACTAATATTACAATAGAACGATAATATATGTGGATCTTGAGATTAAGGCTTAACTAATATAGTTACTAAAATATATACTATTTTCAATTCTTAGAAAATTCAAGAATATTGGCAAGCACACTTTTACAACATGAAGTTAAAGAGCGTGCTTTCTGATACTGATGTAAGTGCTCTGGTCTCTAAGATGAAAAGAACACGGAATTAAGATGGGCGTTCCTCAAAGAAACTAAAGCTTAACCCCNCCACTATATGGTTACTCTTCTTTGTTATAGTATTTATATGGAAGAAGGTGGTAAATGTTATAAATGATAAATATATCTTCTGAGATGATGGAGTATTATTAAGATATTTTACTTGTAGAAGAAAAGGAGATTTGGCTATATTTAAAGCTGTTATTTCAAATTTATCCAAATTAGTGGCGGGTGAAAGAAGAAAAAGAAAGAAAGCAAAGAAATGTTAAGAAAATTAAATCAAAAGAATATCTCTAATCAGTAGAGTAAAAATTTATCATGCATTTAACGGTTCACATAAATTAAAACAGAGGGAGTATTATTTATGTATATTACTTGTGAATTAAACAAGGGTAAGATCTGCAATCTAGAATGATTAGAAAATCTTATTCTATACACGTTGTCTGTGCATTGAAATAAGAAATATCTATGAAAGGGTATGAAATAGGCTTCCCATGTTTCATTAATGTAGTTTCTTCCGATTTTAGCCCATGAATTATTCTTTATTTTTTATTTAGAAAAGGAGTAATCTTATCAGTCAATCTTGATTATAATTAATTGGTTTGTTCGCTTGATCCTCTCCAGATTATTCTCCATAAGAAGTGTCCGGCTGCATTTCGCTTGATCCTGAGGAAGACATCTCTTGATCTATTCAGCTTTGAGAAAGACATTGTCTTATGCCTGATCGTTTTGTGAGTATTGTAAATATTTTCAAGATGATTTTTTAATGAATATCCCAAAAGGTTATAGGTTTTTGGCGATCAATTATTTTTTAGTCGTTATAATTAGAATCAAATTGCAAATATCAAGTAGAGTAGTTCATATTATTACAAATTTCTAGATTGTTTATTCATGAAAAAGGAAAAAAGAAGTAAAAGGGGTTTGGAACTTTCTTATATTTTATATAGATTGCTTATTTTCTTGTGTTTAATGTTATTCTATAAATTAAATTGGAGTTTCTAACCGATTGAATTGGTTAGATAAGACACATTAAATTAAATTAATTATTTTTAAAACCTTCAAGAAAAAGTACTAAGAAATATGCACATTTATATTAAAGAATATTATGTATGTAAATATATGTCCACAATTACACATATAAGTAGTAAATGTTCACAATTACACTAATATAAGTAGTAACTATAATCAAATATTTATAAAATAATGATGGAATTATGTCAAAGTTTGGAATTAAAGGAATACTTTTTACTTTTCAAAACAAAACAAATCTCAACGATAAATTGACAAGCCAAGGGCTCAAAAGGAATTTTCTTTATATATTTAAGTACATTAAAAATATACAGTTGAACTTTTGGCTATTTATAGTGTTCAGTTATTAAAATATTAATTTCATTGTTACTATTAGAGTTATTTATAACCGCGCGGAGCACGGATATTTTCCCTAGTTATAATATATTAATAACTAGTTAAGACTATTACGGACTGAAGTGTTCATGTTACTTAGAGCATAATTGCTTTCAAAGCGGGCCAAAATATTACAAGTACTAGCTGAAATACTTCTAACAAAGATAAATAAAATGAAACTAAGCTAGGGACAAATGTTTAATATACCATTACTCAAGATATATAAAGAGAACTTCAAACCAAACATATAGCTGGTTACAAGATGGCTAGAATAGAGATAGTAGTATATTTACTATTACTTGCTTAAAAACACACAAGCACAGGGGGAGATTGCTAATGATTGGAGTGCTGTTATGTCTTCACTTAATAGTTCGTGTTCCTTTTCTCCTGTCAAAACACATAAAAAAAACGTCTGCTCCTGTATAAGCCACAGAATCCAATATTGGTGGAAACAGATAAGTCTGTAGAACAAACACTCCACAGATCTGAGCATCTTCCCCCCACACCCAGGGCTTGGTTACATTGTAAAGAGCACTAATTAACTAAAAGCTTTTAAAACCTTTTGTATGTAGAATATAAGGTAAATCTGATTGGAGAATAAACTTCATTTTCTTGAGCACAATTTTCCGGATTAATTAACTAATCATCTTCATGGTTATGACCAATTATGTGCTAGAAAAAATGTACATTTATTTGCCTCCATCTGAATGTGTTTAATAGTGGCTGCAATCACATCAGACAGATATTTGTGCTTTTCAACATTAATTGCATGTCCTAAGAGGATTACATTCCATATCTTCTTCTTTGACTAGTTTGACATTCAACAATATGCATGAGCATCTAGTTAATTATTAGTTAAGTTGCACTAATATTTTTTTAGAGGAATTAACTTTGAAATCAAAACAAGATTAATTGCTCACTTCATGTCTAAAGAAGATCATGAGCAAAGTACATGTAAGTATCCATTAGCATCTTCTATATATCTTCATACTGATAGCTTGCATATCAAAAATAGTATATAACGAGCTCAATTGATAGTCAAATTCGGAAGTAAAAGAAGAAAATATTTTTTTCTGAATGCTTTATTAATCAACTGAACTCCGACTTTTTATAAAAGTATAACATGGAAATCAGAATTTGTCTAAACTACAGGAAGATGGATTTTTTTTATTGTCCATCAAGATATTTTTCCCTTAAAAGAAAAGATATATAGAGGAGGGAGGCATTCACCGCATCACACTATTAATTAAAGCTGCAATAATGCACTCTCTACAAACAATATATGGCAACGGTTCTGAGTATTGAATTCTGACCATGTGTTAAATGCTAAATTTTGTAAGATGAATGCACCTGCATGGTCTGTTACTAGTTGTAATAACTCGAGAACTACAAGTCCACATTGATTAAATCAATCACTTTTTGTTGCAATGCCTGGTGATCAATGTTGTTCATATCGCACACCTGCAGGAGGATGGATGATTCATTAAAGAAGGTAATGAATGCTTAAACTAGATTACGAAGCCAATTTACAAGAAACATATTAACAAAGCATGAAAGAAAATTTTCTCCAATTATCTGAGCTCAAGTTATTCTATACTACATAATAGGATAAAGAACTTTTACATTATTAAATTTAACCGGTTATTACATGTTATAATCTCTATTTTTCAGGTTACTATATGATGAGATTAGCCCATTGTTATAGGTTAACTAAACCTGATAGTATAATTCCTTACACTTAATTCACAAAATATGATTAGATCTTAATTCAATACACATATACAGCACCTCGATCTGAATTGTGTAGAGGGACCTTTGATTCACTTTAGCAGAGACACAACTGACGACATTAATCCCTTGTTTCAGAAGCTCCCGCAGCACTCTTGAAAGTGGAAAACTTTGCGATTTACAGTCAACGCTGATTAAGATCTCTATGCCACCCTGCAGGCAGGGGCTTACCGTAACACAATCTGGGGAAAGTGTGAAATTATTTGATCTAAAATTTCCAGTTCCATGTGGGATTGAATCAGGTAAAGACGACTTAATTAGCAAGTCTCTCCGTTTCTCCAATTCTTTGATGTTTGCTTGCATTTCCTTTATGTAATTCACGGCTTCATGCATGTGGTCCGATACCGAACGCTTGCCCTATAAACACAAAGAACTGATCAGATTAGCCTAACTAATACCTAAATTAAATTTAATGGTATTTAAGTTTTACTGAAGAGTACTAGTCAGGAGTATGATATACTCCAATTAACAAGAAAACACCATATATGTGTGTCTGTGTGTGTAATGATATTACCTTGACATATTGCAGAGGAAGGAGAGAACGGAGGGAAGAGTAAAGGGCAGACATTTCTCGTCTTCTTTGACGTTCGATATCTCTATGCATAATTCTTCTAAGCTTGAAATCATCAGCAGGAGCAGCAGCAGCAGTTTCATCTTTCTTATGATCTGGAATATTATTATCAGTAGTACCTAATATTCTTTTGGGTAGTCTCTTATTGACCTGGGAATTGTTAATATTTAAAGGATCATGATGAGTACGTGTCTCCAGAGAAGCATAATCCATAACCAGATCTTGGGAGATCTTGCTTTGTTGGCAAGGATTAGACAGAATCTGAAACACCAACTCATCATTTTCTTGTAAAGAATACATATTATTTATCCTCCTCCTCCTCCTCCTCCTCCTCCTCCTTCTTTTTCTTTTTGTGTGTCTCCGCAAAAACCTGAGCATGAGTTACATCCCTCTCATATGTCTTTTCCTACAAAATTTAAAAGTGAGAGATAGATATATNGTTTTCCAGCTTGAGGTGATATGTATTTATATATTAAGAAGTAATGGAGATATATAATTGCAATAATAAAGAAGGGAAGATAGGTTTGTTAGGATTGCGTGATCTTTTAATGGTCCTTAAGATGCCATGATTGTCTGCCTTGTCTCCATAAACAAGTAGGGGTAAGGACTGACCTCATCAACACCAATTTTTTTTAGTAAAGCTATATATCTTGGTCCTATAGTTTATTTATTTAATCGATACTGGACTACTGTAAATTATTTATAATTGCAACCCCACCATTGTGGTCTCTGTGCACAAATTCAGGAATTGTCTCCAAAGTTAACAAGAAATTGTTTTGTGTCCCAAATGCCCTTCACTAGAAATATACTCCCTCCGTTTCAATTTACGTGAACTTATTTTCTTTTTAGTCTGTGCAAAAAAAAAATGACATGTTTCCCTTTTTGGAAACAATTTACCTTTATGCAATGATTTATAGTCACACAAAATATATGTGTTCATTTTACACTACAAATTCAAAAATCTTCTCTCTTTTCTTAAACTTCGTGCCCAATCAAATGGATTCACATAATTGAAACGGAGGGAGTATTAACTAATGAAGTGTCTATTTTCTTTTTAGCTTTTTTTTGTTGCTAATAACTAATGAAGAGTCGAGCAATTCCACTTATAATAAATCTAAATTTATTTACTTGAACGAAATTGTGAACAATTTTTATTCTATTATATATATATATATATATCACCTGTTAGCGGTTAGAGAATTATACTTTCCAATGTGAACTCTTAAGTTATGATATGTCACACACACATATATATATATATATATATATATCCAAGAATGAGTGTGTATACTATGCGGATACTTTTACTAAATAATATTATAGTCTTCGCATTTTTAAAATATGTAAGTCAAAACAAAGAAATATAAAAGCTTAACGTACCTGAAACCCTTTTTTTTCTAGCCTAGGTAAATTTCCAGAGAGATTATATACCTAATTAGAGCTGCAAAGATATCATGCTGTTTTTTTTCGGTAAGAGGGAAAACTCGCGGTTATCAATCTCTGTCAGAACCTCTGCCTTTCGGGTGAACATTCTTTGGTGAGCGCTTTGTGCGCACTGGATAAACCTCTCCCTATGTAACAACCTGCAAACCACATAGAAGATCTAAACCGCGCTAGGCAAGCTCTGTACGACTAGCTCAACCCAGAAACACATTCGATCGTAAGTCATCTCTCCAAACCAATTGGACAACCTCGAAGGGTAGATATCTAGCTTTTCCTATGGGCTTCTAGCTATGTCTGCATTGAAGCACGTTTTAAATGATACTCCTATACTTTTTGTTGTTGTCCTCTTTTCTCAATCAGAAATGTGTATTCAGTCCTTGAAATTTTCTATTTTTGATATACAGTAATATTTGAAAAGTGTCGAACGGTAATGAGTACACGTTTTCAAAGATTAGACCAAACACATACTACTCTTTTCTTATGTGAAAGGCATGGAGTTTAAAAAAAAAGAGAAGACTTTTGAACTTGTGGTGTAAAATGAGATACATATATTTTATGTGGCTATAAATCATTGCATAAAGGTAAATCGTTTTCAAATAAGGAAATGAGATATTCTTTTAAGCAAGAATAAAAAAGAAAATAGGTTTACATAAATTGAAACGGGGAGTATGTTTTTTAACTAGGAAAGAAGAAAGTATAATGGGCATTGCACAATTGATGTTCTACCACGTGGCAAAATTTTCAGCTTTTAATTTAGTTTAGTGCGCGCATATTTTATTTACCTAAAATTATTGCAAAAAACTCACAAATCGTTAACCACTAGATTACGCCCCTTTTTAAGATTAAAATATTTGAATTTAAATACATATTTGATTATTTATTTTCTTTTGGTAAAGAAAAAATATTATTATTAATCATTCCAACAAAACCTGATTACATTTAGTGACTATTCAGACTCTAGAATAAACATATTTGATTATTAAGTCTCTGAATATGTACGGTGGACAATTTCATTTAAGAACTATTATAAATAGAAAGTAAATTATTATATTCATAAATAAACAGATTAATATCTTGTTTGCCTAAGTTTCTCCAAAGTCAAAAGTATCTTCTTTTTCAGAAATAAAGTTTTTTTTTTCTCAAAATTAAGGTGTTTGGACAAACTTTTAGGACGAAAAAAACGTGTTTGAGTTTAAGAAGATGAAAAAGTAGATTCTTCTCAAAATTAGAAGCATACGTTATTTTTAATTTTCCTCTTGGCAATAATATTCTTAATAAAAAATTATTTATACCAAAATAACCTTACTTAATTTGTTCTTATGTTTAGCATTCTAAATGCAATTCTCCTAATGTATAAGTATTTTTATTTTTTGGACAGATTTCTAATATATGTTGACTTTTGGGTGAATACTTTTACATTTGTTAAATGATATTTTGTTGATTTTCCCATTAAGAAATAACATATTTTTTTAATTTTATTTTCATATTTTACTTAATAAAAATAAAAAGTTTAGTTATGGTCTCTCGTAATAAATATTTGAAAATATTTATTTACTTAAATAATATTAACTATTAAGTAAATCTTTTTATGTCCTTATTCGTAATTTGATACTTAAAATCCCATTTTGAAAAGCTTGGCTAAACAAATCAAAAGTTTTTTTCAAATCAATTAGCCAAATGCTAATAGTTTTTCTCCAAAATTACTTTTTTGAAAGCACTTAAAATTCTTCTTCTCTTTTTTCAAATTTTGTTCACAATTTTAAAAAATTACTTTTAAAAAATAAGCCGATTTTAGAAGCTTAGCCAATTAGAAAGTCTTATGTGTTACAATAATGGTTTGTTTGACTCGGACGCTGTAAAAGTCAATGATGGTGGTCAGTGATAATGATTACGATGTGATACTAGTTGCGATTTTGTTGTTATGAATAATATTCGTTGCTTTCTGGTTGGTTGTCTAGGTTTAGCTCTCTCGGCGCACGTTAAGCAAGGCAGTTAACGTGCGCTTAAGACGATGGCTAGACGGAGATCTCAACCAATTTTACCACCTACGATACTGGAAGAGGACAACGGACCGGAAGAGGACGACGGAGGACGACTGGTAACACCAGAAATTGGAATGCCACAACTGATAGGTCATATGAACTAGTTCACTGGATGAATGGAATGGAAAGTGCTCCAACTGTCATGCAAGCTTCGAAATGCAACAACGATGAGAAGCCAGTGGATGTAGATCTTAACAATGCAGTGAGGAAGTTGAATTTCTCAGTTAATCGAGCAGATCCAACTCAAATGAAACTGACCTTAGCTGATGTGGTCAAAGGGAACAAAGCTTTACAGCAGGGAATGAAATTGGACTACTGCGCATAATGAAGGAAGGGACGAAGATCATGAGATTGAATAGAGCGGAAGTTGCAGAGCAAACACAAAAATGGAAGGAGACGGTTATAGGGTATGTATTGAGTGGAAATCCTTCTTTCAAAGAAATGTTAAAGTTTGTGTATGGAGTGTGGAATTTCATTAAGACACCTCAAGTGTTTCTGCATGACTATGGTTATTTTATATTTAGATTTAATTCTGAAGATGATAAGAATAGCCTCATTCAACAAGGGCCTTATACATTCCATAATCGACCTTTGATTCTGAAGCAATGGGAGCCGAATTTTTAGATGAGTAAGGAATTGACTAGGAAAATACCTATTTGGGTGATTTTCCCAGGATTGCCTATAGAATATTGGACTAAAGAAAATTTGGGGAGAATAGCAAGCTATCTAGGGAAACTTATATGCTCAGATAGATTGACAGCTGAAGGGGAGAGGATATCATATGCACGCATGCTGGNTGGATATTCTGAAAAGACAACTTGGTGCGGGTCCAAATAATTGGGAGTACATCTCAATTAGTGCATTGTAAGGTGAAAGACAAGGGATCAAGCTTCTCAAGCTATGTTACATTTGTATATGAGATGAACAAGCTGAATGAAAAAAAGGATTTATGGGAGCAGCTTAGGCAGATTAGTAAAAGCATGCAAGAGGCTTGGCTGGTTATTGGAGATTTCAATAATGTGTTGTCTGTTAATGATAGGCTCAATGGGCAACCAGTACATCAGGGAGAAATAACAGATTTTCAAGAATGTATAAAAGATACTGTGCTGGGAAAATTGAACATGAAAGGGTGTGAATGGTCATGGTGCAATAAAAGAGATGCTGAGGATAGAATTTACAACAACATATACTGGGCATTTGGAAATCCTTCTTGGCTAACTCATTATAGTAGTCTAGAAGCAATTTTGGAACTGCCAAGTGTCTCGGATCACTTCCCCATCATTATAAATACTGAGGTAATGAGAAATCATTTACCTAAACCATTCAGATTATATACCGTGCTTCTAAAGCAGAAGAAGTTTGAGGAAGCTGTTCAAGAGATATAGAGGCAAAAGGTTGAAAGGTGTACTATGTTCTCAGTATGGAAGAAATTGCACAAGATAAAGGAGAGTACAAAGACAATGAATAAAGAAATGAACTCACTGGAAAAGACAATAGGAAAGGCTAGAGACCAATTGAAAAGAGTCTAAGGAGAAATGAATGAAGATCCATTCAATAGTTCATTAATAGACACAGAAAAGCAGCTGCTGATACAAATTAAAAAATGGGAAGGCATAAATGAACAGGTACTAAGGCAAAGATCTAGAACAATGTGGATTCAGGCAGGAGATCAAAACTCAAAGTTCTTTCATGCTCACTTGAAGGCCAGACAATCAAGAAATAAGATATTAGTAATATTTGATGAGCAAGGGAATAAGTTGACAGATACCACTAAGATAGAACAGGAATTTAGAGGATTCTTTCAGTCTCTATTGGGTACATGAGCTAGAGAACTACCTTGTATTGAT